AGGATTGTGTGAATAGCGACGGGTTTCAATTTGAACACCTGCGTGATTAATTTTCCCATAATCCCACGTCGTGTGTAAAGTGCCGTTAAATAAATTATCAATTATCAACTGTATACTCTAATTCTAATTTAACTAATCTAAACACATTATCAATTATCAACTGCAAGCCTACTTTTGGGCTAACTTACATTTTTAATTAAAATTATTCATGAGCATAAACAATCAAGCTAGCTGGCTACAAATTAACATGTATCTTAGAACAGCCAAAACAGTAGTAGTAACAACATGGAACATAAATGTTAGTTAGTGGTATTGTACTTTTTCAGATATTAACTGTACGAGATAAAACATAATAATTGTAATAAATTTATAATTACTCAAAATTTGAATGAGATCGCTTTTAAAAATAAATTAACTGGTAACTGTAGACAACTGCTACTTGGATATTTTATTTATTTTTAATGTTCTCAAATACAAATACAAATATATTAAACGTGAGCCCATTCTTCAAAATGGAACATCCTAGATGTACGAATTGTTTTTTAAAAGGGATCAGCTAAAGGAAATGCCTATCGACAGCTATTGAGTCTCTTAAAATCATTGACCACTGCCCTGCATTGTTTCTGTATGATTCTTATGAGCTCTGGATGATGATAAATAGTAAATGATCCCATACCTCAGAACGGAATTTACCGGCTCGTTAAGAGTCATAGGATAAAGAGGGTGAATTACATAACTAATATTTATGTAAACTTTAATATGCATTAGCTGTTAAACAACATTAGAAAGAAATGTGACTTAATTGACTTTCGAAAAGAATAACTTTTAGGATCCCGATTAATAGATGTACGGTTTCTTTACTTTGTAAGATGATCGCCAATACACAATAATTATCCTATAAGTATCATTATGTAAATATAACAGTGGTTAAATTCGTTTGTTTGTTTATTAAATTTCGCCAAAAGCTAGTCGAGAGCTATCTGTGTTAGCCGTCCTTAATTTATTGTCTGTAGGAAAGGCAGCTAGTCAACACCACACACCCACTACTTTTGGATTACCCTTTACCAATGGAAAGTGTGATTGGCCGTAAAAGTATACTGCCTCCACGGCTAAAAGGACGAACATGTTCAATGATGGGACTGGAGCCTGCGACGTGCAGATTGCAAATCGAATGCCCTAATCATCAAGCCAATCCAGGCCTTCTGTGGTTGGAAGGTCAACATGAATGAACGAAACTGTTGTTCATTATGCCGAATTATGTTCTCGAAAAATGAAACAGAATTCCCGAATGGATGTCCTAATATAAAGAACTTCAGCAGTAATAACAACGAAAGCTGGAGCCACACGTTATTACATTAGGTGTTTTCACTTTTTTGTTCAATCTCTTTAACTCTCTTTAATTAAAATAACACTTCAACATGAATGTATACATTCGGTGACGTTTTCAAAAATATCAGTTATTACATTAGATGTTTTCATTTTTTGTTCAATCTCATTAACTCTCTTTAATTAAAATAACACTTCAACATGAATGTATACATTTGGTGACGTTTTCAAAAATATCAGTTTAATGTTGTTTTTGGTTTATTAAATACTTCGCTTATACTCCTGTGATATAATCTAATTTAATGAGATAGCAATATTTTCTTGAATTTCCATATGTATAAAACATAGAAATGCAATTTGAAGCTAATATTTAAAAATAAAATGTTTACTGTTTTGCGACTCAAACAAAATATAACTAATGATATATGGTGCGCAGCATTTGTTTACATTTCATATATACAATAATTCGTTAAAACATAGATTCTGTAATTGTAACCGACTTTTATGAGCTTTTTGTAACTTTGACTAGAATTTTATGAAACCCTATTACATCAGTAGGTTGAGTAACCAGTAAGAACAAACTCTACGTTCTCAACATCCAGCCATTATTTAGTCACAAATTCCTTTGAAAGAATGAAGTGCTTGGTATTGTAATGATAGGATCTTCACCATTAAAGATAAAAAAGATACAAATTCTGAAAACCCCTTTCTTTCTTTAATTATGAATCATATCACGTAATATTCTAAGTTCCGAGAGATGTGATAGGCATGTATCTTATACATGTGAAGTTGAAAATGTTCTGGTCTATATATTGTTTATTGTAATTTTTCTGTATTTAGCATAATATTTTTTATTACTTACTTTCATTTCCATCGAGGCAGTTGACAATGAAAACATATGTTGCAAAAATCCACAATAGTTTTCGGCATACTTTTCTTGAGCTTTTTCTCCAAAAACTCCCTCCACACATCATTGATATATAGCAAATTATGTTAAGACCTGTCTACTAGCAGAAACGTATCTTACCAAAATGTGTTGTTTACACGTCAGGGTTGTTTGGCCAAGACAATAGCTCGTTATAATGCACAACCCAACTTACAGTAACCTTAATTCTAGGAGTCAATCTAACTGCAGGACGACGATGAATCCTTGCACAGCCGCTGCAGCATCTAAGGTAAAGATGAAGAGTTTGGTAGAACCTGAATCTCCCGCTTTCTCCAATGATCGACCACCTCACGGTTGAGACCACTTATTAAAGGGGGTGAATAGAAAACACGATCTTGCTTGAACTTTATCCCAAGTATTTGTTATGAGAACATTCCTATGTCTGATTAGAGCATGCTCACAAGCGTAGCAATAACAAAATTTCACCACTTAGATATAATCTTTTGTTCAGTATAATCTACAGTGTATTTATTGTTAATAAATTTTAACCTTAATTTGTATTGCGTGGTTTCCGAATATTTTTATAGAAATTGCAGGTTTTTGGACAAATTCAGTGTGATAATGCATGCTTTACACCTAAAATGCTTAAAATGTTCAATATAAAATCTGCAGAGTCTAATTTTTCTCTATAGTGAATTAATAGGCAAATATTTGCATACGCTTCTAATAAGACTTAGGTCAGTAATATGTTTGAATTCAACAACTGAGAAAATAAATCGTAATTTTAGCAGCTGACTTAAACTTCCCATTAAATAGAGTTTAACGAGCACGTATACTTTCTGGGATATTTTGAGGAAAGTTAGTTTTCAACATATTTTATTCAGTGACTATGTTGTGAACATTTTTAAATGATAAAATATATTAACATACAAATATATTTGTAAATTAAGCGTCATTATATGACACATTTTAGATTAAAAATATTTCTTTTTTCGTTAATATTTTAATGACAAATGATAATTATTTCAATTATATTTAAGTATACTTTTAATACTAACAGTAATATTACTCATAAAATTACAAACAGGATTTCTCATATATTATATGCCGAATTAAAAATTAAAAAACATTGTTCGTTTTTAATTAATTATGCACAAAGCTACACAAGGGCTATCTGTGCTCTGCCCACCACGAGTAATTAAAAAACAAGGAATAGTAATTACCATAATACACGTGTATAATTTTTAATGTCCTAATTTCAAATTACTGTGAATTTCAATCAATCCCATCGTGCACAGACGAAAATAGCTGCATTGTAATTCTCTTACGCTCTCTTATGCATAAAATCATCATAACGACATTTATGATAAAAAGGAAATATGAATGTGACTCGTTGGAAAATGTTTTGAAAAATACCTAAATATGAAACAAATATATATATAACCTGTAAGAAAGATTTACTGGTGATCTTATAGTTTTGGATGTCCGATGTGAAACTATATATCTACAAATCTACTTTATCTTTTTATTGTGATGAACTACAATTATTTATATACTCAAATGTATGTATATATACACATAGATTAAAAAAAACTCTGCCTGGCGAAGTATAACATTAGTTAAAGACATACTCAAAAGATAGAAATGGGTTCTGAGCTTTACCGTGTAAATATTTATATGCGAAATAACTGAGTTGGCTATTACGCTTTCTGCTTTACTAATCTTTTTAATATTCAATGGTAATTGCCGTATTGTCTTGGCCTCAAGCATTCCGTGTTTCCAGGTGGAACATAATATTTATATCTGGCAAGCCCATGCCTCTAAATTGATTTGTTAAATATCTCATTAGAAATGAATAAGGTGTGGAGGCTTAAACATATATTCCTTTAAAATAATGATAGAAACAATAAACTTTGAACGATAAGAAATAATCATGTGCGTATATGGCTGAAAGAGAGAGAAGCTAAAAGGGAAGGAGAATTAGCAATCACACTAAACATTAAACTTTGGTCCTTGGTTGAAAGAATGAGTTTACATGTATGTTTTGTAATAATACCCAATTTTACCAAACACTTTTCAACGTCCCAATGTATTACGTCGTCAATAAATTAATGTCCCTCTTTTTAAATGAAAAGACACGAACAACTTATATATCAAAATAAAACATTTGTTAAATGAAATAGTCTCCATTCTTATTGATGATGCTTTTCCATGTTACAATCAGGTTCATAATGCCCTGAATAAAGAAATCGCTTAGCTTTGAAGCAAAAAAATGTTGTTGTCCTCTTTAACACCTTCCATATTTGGATACGTTTTCCCATTACGATGGTGTTGCAGCGAACGAAAAGATGGTTATCTGATGGTACCATATCTGTAGAATATGGTGGGTGGGGGAGAACTTTCCAACCCAACTCCATAATCTTGTGTTGCGTCAAACGTGCCACATGTGGACGTGCATTGTAGTGGAGAAGAAGAACACCTTTCCGATTGACGAGTGAAGGGCGTTTCTGATGAAGGGCTTGATTTAACCGTTCCAGTTGCTGACTATAGATTTCTGCATTGATAGTTCGCTGTGGATTAAGGAGTTCGAAATTAATTACTTCTTTGATGTCCCACCAAATGCAAAACATCACTTTCTGCGGATGGAGTCCAGGTTTTGGGGCCGGAAGTGTTTTTTTCTAGGACTGAGCCATT